GTGAGTAAATTATTTACTTATGGGAAAAAAAAAGGTGCTTGTACATCCCTTAGAGAGGAACCCAACCTTAAGGACAGGTAGAAACAGGTAGAACAGGAGTAAATTGGGCCGAAGTCTGGTGCACTGGAGAACGACTTTTCTCCAGAGTGAGAGGTGACTGTGAAGCAATTTAATTTGTTCTTGCTATTTGCCTTTTTTTTTTTTTTTCTTTTTTTTTTTGCTGTTGTCGTGGCAGGAAATTTAACTGGGTTTAATCATCGAGGGATTTTTAGAATATATTGCCCTTTCTCTTTCTGTGTTTCGTTTTCTGTGACGGTTTCGTTTTTTCTGTGTTGAAAAGGCGGTTTGATGTGAATTCATTTTTATGTATTTTAATGGGCAATACTAATACACGGTTAGATGGACAAACAACTTAGATAAGACCATGTCTATTTATGCTTGGTTCTGCTTTGATATGTAAGGTGATGGTGGAATATAGATATAGATTAATAATTTAATACATAAATGGAGAAATATATATATATATGTATATATACGTGTGTGTATATGTATGTATGTTTGTATGTATGTATGTATGTATGTATGTAAGTATGTATGTATGTATGTATGTATGTATGTATGTATGTATGCATGCATGTACGTACATACACACACACAAACAAACAAACACACACACACACACACACACACACACGATACAATACAATACAGTACACTTACATGTGCGTGTGTGTGTGTATGTATATGTGCATGCACCTGTGTCTGTGTATGTTTGTATATAATTATACAAATATATACTTATTCTCTCGTCTTCTCCCCTGTCTTTACATTAACATCTTACTCCTCCCTCCCTTACTCACTCCCTCTCTCACTCACCCCCCCCCCCTCTCTCCTCCTCCCGTCCTCTCATCCTACTCCAATTTCGTTACCGTTCATCCTATTTTCTTTATCCCCCATTCTTTATGTTCCATTGGTTCCTCCGTTCCATCAGTTTAATTTGTGCTCATACACCCGGACACATATCTTTTTCCACGCACGCACGCACACATATACACACACACACACACATACACGCACGCACACATACACACACGCACACACATACACGCACACACACACATACACGCACACACACACATACACCCACACACACATACACACGCACACATACACACACGCACACATACACGCACACACACACACGCACACACACACACACACACACACACACACACACACACACACACACACACACACACACACACACACACACACACACACACACACCGAAACTTAGAGACTGACGTTAAACCCTCGCCCCCCTCTCGCCACGAATCAAAAACACACGCCGACAGACACAACAATCCTCGGTGGCCAGCGAGCGGTCACTTCACTTTCACCCCCCCCCCCCCCTTTCCACCCTGTCCTCTCCTATCGGTCTCTCCGTCTTACCTGCCTGGGGGTGATTCGACTAAAGAAAGTATCTCGCATGCTAATTACGGTTTCTTGAAGCTAGAGACAGGTGAGGTACCCTTTATAGCTAAGGGGTGTTTCTGTACCACCTTAGTACGTAGCGTCGAGGACCTCCAAGTCGTACCCTATGGGCTGCCCAAGGTCTTTTTTTCTGTATTGTCATGGGGGAGGTAGAAGGGGAGGTAGAGGGGGAGGTGGAGGGGGAGGTGGAGTGAGAAGCGGAGAGGGAAGCGGGGATGGAGAGGGGGAGAAGAGAAGAGAGGGAGAGGGTGGGAAGAAGAGGAAGGGAGGATGGGAGGCGAAGCAGGGGGAGATGGCGAAAAGAAGGAGAGGAGAGGGAGAGGAGTGGGAGAAAGGGGTGGAGGAGGTGGAGGGGGTGGCGGTGGGAAGAGGGGGGGTAAAGGGAGGATGATGATAGGAGGATGGAAGGTGAAGAGGGAATAGTATTTGCGATGAATTCTTACCGTTGGAAAGCAACTTTAGAACGAGAGAGGGGGAAGAAAGAGCGGAGATCGTGAAGAGGGGAAAAGGAGAGAGGGAGGGAGAGGGAAAATGAGAGAGGAAGGGAGAGGTAAAAGGAAAGAGGAAGGGAGAGGGAAAAGGAGAATGAGAAGGACATAAGATACTGAAAAGGGAGAGGGGGATAGGTGCAAGAAGCGAATGAACTTCAATTAATTATACGAAAATATCCTAATCTTACGGAAGAGTAAATCCAGGGTAATTCATTTTAAAGAAAATGCGTCCGCGAAGTTAGGAACGGTAAAGTAACAGACAAAACCTCATGAACCAAAGCAATTAACATCTCTCATTAATTCTCTCTGTCCCAAAACAGTATATGAATGCACCCCCGGGCCAGGGTTTGTTTGTCACGCACACCCACAGGCGAGGTTCTAGCAGCCGTCAAAACTAGGCCTGAGTGGTGGTCGATTTCTGCAGAGAAGCCTTCTCTGTCCCTTCCCTCGCCCTCACTTTACCTTCTCCTGGCCTCTTCACACGCCCCTCCTCTTCCTTCTTCTTCTCCTTCTTT